AAATTTTATTATACGTCATATGCTGATTTGTAATATGGGTACTATATCGTCTTTTGTACCATACTTAGCGAAATGGTCATTTGTGCCATGTTACCGACAAAAACGATATACGTGCAAACAGATCAATTCCCGTTTCTAGACCCTATCCTTACAGTCTAGGGAATATTCATTTCAATCATTGTTGGTTAATAAACTAGAAGTAATATATAAATTGAAGCTTACATTTTTAAGCAACTAACATTCATCAATACTATCTTTTTTTAAGTCATATTTGTTGTTATACTATTTCTATTCATATGTCGAGATTAGTCTAATATTTATCATAGTCACTTTAAACAATTTACTCATTAAAATAATTAAAAACACTCAGACATTACATCAGTAGATATACAATGTACGATTTATCGTACAGCCACTGACAATATTAAGATCAAAGTATCCGCAAACATATTGGTACCTCAGATTCGCCGACATTTCAATAGCATTAAAACAATATCAATCATATCAGAATATAAAACCGTCTGATATTTATTTTCAGATAATTCCTTTTCGGATTTGTTTATTATCTTTACATAGTTTCATTCTGAATCTACATTATTTAACAGACTGAGTTTTCATAAATGTATGCATTCACATAAACTAGTTCGTCAACATGAAATTGTAATTCAAAATCTTTAATGCGACACTAGATATCTCTATAATTACACATTAAAATTGATTTTGGAACTGTATTATTTATATGCACTATAACAAGACAATTAAAACGACAAATTTAATAAAAAATATTTTACAATAACACAACTCCTTAGATTTTAAAATTATCAAATTACAAATGCATACTTTTTGAAGCTTCTAATCCTTGGCATTGCTTTTCTGAATTGTCGTACAAGACGTTTGGGCATATCGCTGTTCTTTTCATACGTGTATTAATAATATGTGTTGATGATGAAGAACGACATGCTACATAAAATAGATCAACTTTTCCTTTGAAGTCTTAATAAGATTCTGTGTATACGAACATTCCGTTTTTTTGTTGTTAATATTATTTTTATCTTCCTCCATATCAAGAGTAAAATTGGCGTTACGTTATCATTTATATTTATTTAATAAAATAACAATATAGATATTATTACGAAATATTTCAAATAATTAACTTAACGCTATTTTTGACACAAATAGATTAATATTATGTTATTTATTTAAATGATACGATATTAGCTAATAAAAATTATACTATCGAAAATATTCTGTACCCATTAATAAGAGTACAAAGCAAATTTGATATATAGATAACTAATCGGTCTACTGTAAAATAAATATCTTCATAAAAATACTTATCAAACCTTAAAAAATTTTACTTGTTGCCTAGTTCAAATACTATTATCTATGTCTCATCTTTAAAGTATTATTTATTTACGCAGCATCAAAATAATCAACAGTATCAGAGCGATATGTTCATTTTCACCTTAGTTACCTGCTGATTGATGCCGTAGTTACATTATCGTCTTTTTTCTATAGTTACCTGGTCATTTGTGCCATAGTTACGTCGTCATTTGTATCATAGTTACATGGTCATCTGCACCATAGTTACATGGCCATATGTGCGATAGTTACGTGGCCATTTGTGCCACAGTTACGCGGTCATTTGTACCAAAAAAATGATCGTTTCTGCCATAGTTATGTGGTCATTTGTACCATAGTTACATGGTTATTTGTATCATAGTTACGTGGCCATTTATGCCATAGTTACATGGTCGTTCATACCAAAAAATGGTCGTTTGTACCAAAAAAATGGTCATTTGTACCAAAAAAATGGTCATTTGTGCCAAAAAAATAGTCGTTTCTACCAAAAAAATAGTCATTTGTACTAAAAAAATGCTCGTTTGTACCAGAAAAATGGTCATTTATGCTAAAAAAAATGCTCGTTTGCACTAGAAAAATGGTCATTTGTGCTAAAAAAATAGTCGTTTGTACCAAAAAAAAATTGTCATTTGTGCCAAAAAAATAGTCGTTTGCACCAAAAAAAATGGTCATTTGTGCCGTAGTTATCATGACCATTTTGACCGCGTTACCGACAGACAGACAGACACAGGTGAATTTCGGTTTCTAGACCCTAGCCTTTCAGTCTAGGGAATATCATACAACAAAGGTGGGCAATGATCATTCTCTTTCACTTTTGTAAATACGTTCATGTTCTTCTTGAATAAAAGGCATATGAGTAGTGTCACATATCATAAATATCTGACATATGGGAAAAGCAATGTTATATGCGAGAGATGTCAAAGCAGCTTTTATAAAAGTTCTATTGTTACATGTGCTTACATCAGTTCCAATATATCTATCAAAGAGATACGCCCGCTCCTGTGAGACACGCTGTTTCTTACACACTTCTTCTCATGAGAGATGACCCTCAGCACAGAAGTGTGTTACCACCTTTACTTGCAATCGAGAGATGTGCCATATGTATGTAGTATTTGGTATCTTTTGTATCCCACGTTGCTTCTTCAACATGCGTGATACTTAGGATAAGCAGCTATGACTGGTTTCGACCTTGCTCAAGGGTCTCATCAGACGGCATTGTTCAATTCATCATCATAAATGACGATGAAACCGCAACTATAAGAACAATAAGCAGCCACAATCGCGATTTCATCCAGCTGATGAGACCCTTAAGCAAGGTCGAAATCGCGATCGTGGCTGCCCATTCCTATAGTTGCAGTCATGCTTCTTAATACCAGTTCTCTTTCTTATGGGAGTTGAACAACGGTTTTCTGTTCTAAACTTTTTTTGTTTATGACGGAATTAGAATAATGCCACCTGATGAGACCCTTAAGCAAGGTCGAAATCGTGATCGTGGCTGCTTATTCTTCTAGTTTGCCCTGTAGTGCAGGGCAGAACAGGACATCACGGCAGTCCTGCCCTGATGACGATCTCTGATGTGTAAGAAGAAACGAAAATATAGATTTCAGAACTAGTTCGATTAGTTTTAAAAATATTCTTATGTTCCTCTTGTTTTCTTTACTGTCTTGCATATAGCTGAAGGATATTGGTGAAAATTTACGACTAATCTGCGTTTGGTTAAAAAATGGACTAAGTCTATATGGACATCTAACAATGATAATTTTCGAAACGCGAGTTTTGACGATCTAAACTGTCTAAAAAGATTGCTAATGGTTCCCTAAAAGGCAGCATGAAAACGATATACATATGACGAGATGAAAGTGTTTATCACGCACAACTGTTATCGAAAAAAAGTGCACGAAAAAAAACCGTGATAAAACGAATAGAAAGAAACGCGAGAGGAAGAGAAAACGTCTACCTAACCTACTATTTCTACCATCAAATTTAAAGAGAAAAGCACATATATATGTCTACATGCTTCGAAACGAATAGGTAGCAACACATCGAAAGTTAAAACGTCAAAAAGCAAAACATCGAAAATATTTTTTTTCGAAAGCCTTAATAATACAGTAATAAGCCACAGATTTCGCCCTCATCCACATTAGTGGACTGTGCGCGCATTGTCCTCTCGTGATTTGTTCATGAAAGGCTTGAGAAAAACCCGGATATTGTAACCACAAAGTTTGTAATTTTCGATATTTTGCTTTTCGACGTTTCGACTTTCGATGTTTTGCTACCTTCCCTTCGACGACGAAGACGAAACAAGTAGATGAATGACTAGATTGAAGATATGGTGAAGACAATGGAAAAATGACTCCACATAGTGAAGAACAAAAGAAATAATATAAACAACTAAAACAGTAGAGGAATGAAGAAACCGAATTAATAGTAAATACAACTATATGTAGAACGAAAGGATAAAGAATGAAAAGACATGATAAACCAAATTTGTGGGCGGTTTAGCCCAGAGTTAATCCGCGCGTTATATGTAAAATGATGAATCCGACTTGTGAACCCATAACTTGTGGAAATACCTAACCCGTAAGCCCGTAACCCGTCAGTGTTCTAATCCGAGTGCGGGTTACAAGTCGGATCAAAACGGGTCAACCCGTGAGCATCTTTGGTGTATACGCATTTTTCAAGCTTTCGTGTCTGACTGGGTAGTTAATCAAATAATTTGCTGGTTAAATCGTTAAAGTAACAAAACAACATTCTTTTAACATCGCTTGTTGTCTATGAATAAAATATACCGATCGTTATACCAGATATTATTGAACAACAATGAGTATATTTATGTCTAAAACATGTTCACAATAAATTCATCAACCAAGAGACGTTTTTGGAGACCATACACGAAAAGAAGTGTAATAATAATATGGAATATTCTATATAAAAAAAGAAAAAATGGTTTATTTGTTAATCTGTTCCAAATATTTATAATGTATTGATACTGAAGAATTGGATTCAGCTCAGCTAACTATTGTATGTAAAAAAAACATTTATTTTAATTCAATCTTCTATCAGACGTAATGATTTTTTTTCATATTTTATTAGCCTTCATTATACCTTCAATAAACTAGTGTCATCTGTCAGAATTTCTTTCTCAATTTTTTCACACAAGAACCAGTGAGAATAATTCAAGTTGTACATCTTCATCTTCATTAATTGTCAATGATAAAATTCATATCAACCTTTTTTTGTCAGAAAATGCGTCGTTTTTATTCGAAATTTTTCAAAATTATATCTGTTTACACAACTCAATATTTTTGTTTTCCTCTATTTGAAATTTTTTGTTAATTTTGAATAAATGAACTGATAGATCTTTCGAGAATTTTTTTGTATTTGAAGCAAGAAAGATAATACATTCATGGAGGAAAATAACATTATTTCATATTTTTAAAATTGAATTGAACAATTGATACTCTTATAAAATTATTCTATAGACATATTTTAATTTGTACGATAGCAAATTAAAAATAATGCAGTTATACATATCTTCTAGATGAGTGGTACCCAATATTGGACACAATCCATATTTTGAACAAGGGTATTTTATTATTTTTATTTGTTGATAGTAGAACTTTTTGATTTTTATAGATATGTTTACTCAATTAGAAGATCTTCCAAATGAATTATTAATCGATACTTTCGGATATTTCGATATTCGAGAATTGTTTTATAGTTTTTGGAAACTTAATAAACGATTTAAACAACTTATACGATCACTTCAAAATCTTTCTCTTACTCTTGAGAAAGATGAACCAAAATTGATTTCATTATTTGCTTGCCAAATTCGTCAATTAGTTGTCAATACTCGACAAGATATTAATTTCAATCAATTTCCTCGTTTATATTCACTTGTTTTGCATCAAATGACTCCAAATCAATGGAAACAACTTGGATCAGCATTTCTACCTCATCTAACTTATCTTTCAACATCATGCATAACTGAATATTCATACGAAGGTCTATTACTTCATATTCGTATATTATTTTCCAATCAACTGCCAACACTTCGTCATCTAAATCTAGGTTTCATTCATGCACCAGTTTTTCGATGGACTGAATCATCTTCTCTTTATTCTATATCTGTCCGTTCTAATGATCCAACTGTCGTACCTTATATTCTCACTTCATGTCATAATCTGTATTATCTTGACGTTAGTTTCTTACCGGATACAGTCGAAAATTGTAAAAATCAATCAGTAATTACAAATCATCCTCTGAAACAATTTATTCTCTCAGATTCTTATCATAAATTATCATTTGAAATTGTTGATATTTTTCTTTCATCTATTCCAAATGTTAAACGAATTAAATTAAGTTTTCAATGTAATGTTCCATTTATTGATTTTGTTCAATGTCTTTCAAATCGATTACGTTATTTACGTCGATTTGATTGTGAAATTGATGATATATCAGATGATGAAACGACGACTATTGAAATAATACGACAAATTCATCCATGTTTTAATCGTATTCAATTAGATAGAGGTTTGCATGGATTTCGAACATTTCGAACGTACTAAAAAACTTCGATTTCTTATTCGAAAGTTAAATTATCGATATGTCTAAAGATAACAATGTTTATGAATGATCATAAAGATTATGTGTATGATTAATTAATTCGTTTTAAAAATGTTCAAATTTCGCATTTTTTAACATAAACTAACAATGATTAGTACTCAATAATCACCATCGCATGTGAGCGTTTTCATGCCATTGAACTAGCATCCACAAGATGATCAATTAGGTTTACACAAGTACCACTTTATAAAGATTTTTCTAAGTTAAGTTATTACTTTTTTTTGGTTCTTTTTTTAAAGCAAAATAAATTTTGATATACAAAATACGTCACAGTGAGTGGATTGATGGTACATTAGATAAACAAGGTTTCGAATAGTTACTTGATACAATTGCTGAAGAAAATCGTTCATTATTTGGAAGAAAAAATTTTAGTTGATAGAAAGTTTCGAATCATTGAAAAAATCGAATGTTTAATCATCATAACATAATGACTAAACTACATTGTGATATTTTGCCAATGCCAAGTCTTGCTTTACAACGAGCAATACTCTTACGTGATAGTTCAGATTTTTAGGATCAGTAAATGACTTTAAAAAATTGTAATTTCAAATAAATAGTTTCTTTAATGTTTAGTTATATTTTGTTCTCGGTTTATGATCAAATTCATATAAATATTAAAATTTAATTTCGATCTATATTAGAAATTGTTTTGAAGGTTGTTTCATAGATTATAACAGTTTGAAGTTTTGCTTCATTTGATATTTTTATTTTGGCTTGTGTTTTTCAGCGCGATTTACGCCTATAAAAAAATATTTCAATAAACTTAAGACACTTTCTCTTTATCCAATCTTTTTATTATACATGCACTTTCTTTTACTTGATACTGGCATTTAATTCTATTGTTTGGGTGTTTGATCTTTCAATTAAACAAACCAAGATAACTTGATTTTCAATATTAGAAATTGAGTTTGTAATTACAGATCTATAGGAAAAGTCGAATTTCGAAATATTGCTGTATAAAATGATCTATATTAAAAATAATGTACTAACATGAATCATTGATTATCCAACAAAACGGTAGTTCTAATGAATACATGGCAGATGAATAATTTTCTATTGATTCTTTTATTATAACCCTATTCAATATATGATAATACGTGGGTCATGCCAAAAGTTTTTAGATTCTTTATTAATTTAATAGATATATACGAGTTTGATAGTAATGGTGGTAGATCCACGTCTTAGAAGAAAGTACACAAAGTTTTGGCTCTTGAATATTTTTCCTTTCCTTTTTTTTGTAGACTAACTGATACACTACTAACACATTTTTTTGGTATTGCTATGAATCTCACAAGAGACGAAATTCGAGTAATGATTTATTATGATTACAAAAAAAAATTGTCACAGCAAGAATGCCTGGAGTCTTTACAGAAAACATTTGGTGACTCTTGTGTTTCACGTGCAACAGTTTACAATTGGTATGCTGAATTTAATCGTGGTAGAGATCACTTTGAAGATGAGCCTCGTGCTGGTCGACCAAGAAGTGCGACCACTCCAGAAAGCATCGAAACTATTCATCAGCTGGCCAACATCGATCCACATATCACATACCAAGAGAGGGTGTGGGTGTGGGTCATCTCGTCACCCACACCCACACCAACCCTTAATTTTTTTTCAAATGGAATAGAATAAATACAATAAATTCATTCTAGTGTGGTGTAATCGCAAATAAATTAAATAGCTCTTTTGAACTAAAATGATTTTAATTTGTGTTAAATCAAATAAATAATTACTTTGAAAAATTTTATCTTAATGAAATTAAATAATTAAAGTGGACCACAAAAGTTTAAGACGCTTTATTTTTTTTAAAGGTAAGAAAAATAAATATCCCTAAATATATGTATATGTAGTCAGGATTGAGGTCTGCATTGTTCATTTATGTGTCATCAAATTGGTCATTAGCTGACAAAGTACAGCAAAATACAGTTTTTTTTCTATAGCCAAAAGTTTAAGACACTTCTAGTATTTCGTCGATTTTCTAATTATTGAAAAGAGAGAAAATCTTTAAAAATATACCATTAGATGCAGAATTGAACGGGTTACATTTTGGTAAAAAAAATTTTCCTTAACTCTTTGGGGACGGGCGTGGTATATATACCACCTGGAGTATCTTTCAAAATTCGGGGATGATATAGATTTCAAATCAATCAGAAGTGAGTGGAAATCGCCTGTAGAGTAATTTTTCTGTGTTGATACAGTAAATTAGCAGTATTTCGAAAGTGTCGGAAATATCCACACAGTGTATTTAGTAGTTTATAACATTACATAATGGACTTTTCCCTTGCTTTATCATACATTCTTTATTTGGATTTTTCCTGTACATCCTAATACGTCTACCTTGATATTTGTCATATTCTCCTTGATACATATATACACAAGGGCTTCGTGTTCACCTAGGGTGTGGGTGTGGGTGTGGGTGTGGGTGGGTGTGGGTGTGGGTGTGGGTGTGGGGTGTGGGTGTGGGTGTGGGTATGTCGATGTGGTGGGGTGTGGGTGTTGTGTAAGTGTGCGTGGGGGGTGTGAGTGTCGAAAGTGCAGAAATCAAAACATCCACATCCACACCCATACCCATAACCACATCCACACTCACACCCACACTCACACCCACATCCATACCCACTCACACCCCACACCCACCCACACCCACGCTTGAGGCTGAAAGTTCAGCCAATCATATGTTTTCAATGTTGGCGTTCAACGAATAAGGTTTTTTCAGGCTGGGGTTTCAGCAAATCATATCTTTTGGATATCGGCTTTCCAGTTAATGTGGTTTTTTCAGACTGAGGTTCCAAGAAATCATATTCCCTCGACTGAAGCGAGTTATTTGAAGTAAAATGCGTATGAGGATGTGTGTGTTTGTATGTTTACGGTCACGTGTCCAGTTATGTGTCCATTTGTAGAACCGTACCTTGCCAGGTCACATCGATAGTAATCGGGTTGGAGAATTCGGATCTGTTATCGGTTTTTGAAAATTTTGCGGTTGAGTTTTTTGGTCAAGAAAAAGGTTTTTTTACAAAAACAATGATTTTTATAAAGTCTATCCAAAGGTGATTGCTGCCGGTAAATCCGAATCTGTGATCAGTTTTTCGAAATTTTGAGTTTGATTTGTTTGGTCAAGGAAATAGTTTTTTTACAAGACTTAACCGAAAGTAATCGAGATCGGAGAATCCGAATCTGAAGTCGATTTCTCAAAATGTTGAATTTGATTCTTGCGGTCCAAAGAAAGGGTTTTTTGAGAAAATAGCAATTTTTTTTCAGACTTAACCGAAGGTATTTGGGGCGAGGAATCCGAGTCTGCAATCTGTTTTTCAAAATCTTGAGTTTGGTTTTTACGATCAGGGAAGGGTTTTTCGAGAATATAACGATGTTTTATAAAAGTTGGCGAACGTAAATGGGGATTCGGAAATCTAAATCTTTAATCGATGCCTGGAAATTTGCGGGCCACAGTTTTATAATCAGGAAAGGACTTGTTAGTAAAGCAATGATGTTTCGCTGGACTGAACAACAGATGATATGAAATAAAATAAGTTTGTGATCTGGGAATGATTGGGAGAGTAACGTGTTCAGCTGTGTTTGCGTGATTACATACTCGATAATCTCAGCCACGTGAAATATATATGAGGTTTTTCAGAGGGTGAGGTATGGATGTGAGACACAACAAGATCAACACACACAGACATATGCCTATGACCAGACTGCACACCAACCCTCAAATGCACCACTGATACCCAAATTCAAGTTTTAGTCAATTCGACATTATTGGTATCTAAGTCTACTCGTATTGCAACTTATCTGGATTAGTATTCCATTATTTGCATTTTTTTCAGCAGACGTTCTAACTCATAGAATTTTCCGCCACTATGACTCGAAGAAGGTAATATCCAAAGATACATGAAAATGAGGTCACATTTTTATGGTTAATAGAGAATAACCAGCTATTGCTTAAATGCATTCAAATAATGGAGCGACTAGCCGTGAGTGGCGCCCCGAAGGGGGAGAGGGCGACGAGCAACTAGCCGCTGCTCTGCGAAATTTCCTGAAGGAACGCTTCAGGATGTCGCAATCCATCGGCAAAATGTCTACGGTCTAGATCTGACCGATTTCATAGGAGCTAGAAATAGTAAAAAATCTAAGAAGTATTTTCGAATAAAGTGTGAGAGCAGCTGTGCTCCACGTGCATTATATCTGCATAGAAAATTTGACGGAAAACATCATGCAAAGAATTCAGATTCACTTCATTCGAAGTGGATTTGAATGAAATAAAATGTGTTTTTCTGTTGTTATGTGTCCTGGTCTGTGTGGATTCATGTGTCTAAATTTATCGGCTATATTGAAATTAACTACCCAATCCAATGACTACTTTGAGTAAGAGAGCGTCACTCCAGTGGCGTATTCCGATTATAGGTCTGATCAAATACTATTTATTTTACTCTAGAAGCTCAGCTAAACTCGTATTTTTGTAGTCGACACTAGCAAATGACATTGTCGGTTGATGTGCTAGTAACTATACGGACTTTTATTAAAGCTTTTAATGTGTATGATGCGTTTTCACGCTGGTGTCGCGGATGTGTTTTCTATGTTGATCTTCTCAGCTTATTGAAGATAATCTCTTTTCTCGAAGCGTGTGAATACTGCTGTCTTAGTGTGGTTTATGTAGATTTCCGTTGGGTATTCCTGTGTGGGTGTCGGTTTGATTGGATGAATTTATGGCAAAAAGTATCACACAGACACGTATGGCATTACACACAGCGACCCTGATGTGGATATAAATATCCACACTCACACGCAACCTTATTTAAACGTTGGCTACTAGTTTTTTTTAGCACTGTAAAGCAGTATATAATACCGAAACAGTCAAATATTCAGTCGAGGGTCAAGCGAGTCACACAGACGAGCGTTACTTGTACATATATGTTTAATATAGTTTGCGAGTTTCATATCT